TCTTATCCAAACCTAAACGACTGTTTACAAACACTTGCTAGTAAAGTTTTCTCCAAATATTGTCAGTACGTGTTGTCATGTTGTTATCAGAAGGAGATACAGATGTAACCTGTATGATATCAGTATCAGCCGACCTGCTAAGATATGGTTTTCAGTAACCTAACTTTACTTCATATCGTGATCTCTATTGCACTATGATACATGAATAATGTTTTCATTGTTCAAATACACAGTAAACTACACTACATAGTGTCGTACATATTCTATACCCTGATTACATGTATACATGTTTTTTGTACATTGTATATATATGTAAATATAACGTTGATCAACATTTGGATTAATAAGAAATTAACAATTTGAAAATTAAAATAGTATCGACACACACCTAACACAATAGCCTCACAATTCAGTTACACACAGTAACCACACATACAATTCACATAAACCACGGTACTTTCAATTTACGCTGAGTATAATGTTCAATATTTTGACACATCCTCACTAAATGGGACTGAGCATTATCCTGCTGGAATGTGAGGTTGCTGCAATAATGGAACAACATATTTACTTAAGTAAAAATGTGTAGGATAACCTTTTTGTTGTTGTTGCTGCAATGCAGACAAACAAAATGGAACATCTTCCTAAATACTTTTTCTTCCTTAATCCTTTTTTTTTTTTTTTTTTTCATTCTCCCAACCATCTGTCGTATGCTCTTCTTCCTTCTTCTTCAACTCTCCTACCTTATGCCTTTCTTCTTCTTCTTCCAATTTCTTCTATCATGAAATACGTATGTACAACTTTAAAATTTAGGATATTACGATGTGTAGCGTGAAAGTGTGTGTAAATGCTGATGAAGAATATTAATGACCTTGTGTATTGTACTATGTATGGACGAAAACATGAATAAAAAAATTATAAACAAAAAAAAAAAACAAAAAAATGGGGTCGGAGGTTCTGATTTCTATACCTAGCGACATTTAAATTACCCGCTAATAAAACTAGTGGTGATAACCAATGTGAGATTCCTCCCCACACCATAACCGATCCACCCCAAACCTATACGTCTCTACTATGCAGCAGTCAGCAAAACTACGCCAGTAAACACAATGTCAACCGTTTGCTCAAAACAGGGTGAACCGGGACTCATCAGTAATCAAGACCAGCCTACACTGCCTCAATGGGAATACATTGGGGACATGTGCCGCCACCCAAACCATACGACGCTGGCGACGAGCAGTGGTAAGATGAAGACCTACAAACAGATAGCGTTTCCTTAGTTGTTGCATGAATAGGACGATTATGAGTACATATGGTATGAAGGACAGATTCAGTGGCACTAAGGTGCCGATTATGCAAATGCACGAGAAGAATAAACCTGCCCTGACGTTATGACGTCACGCACGGACGCCTAGACTTAGGTCTGTCAGCATCCCGCCAGTTTCCCTTAGACGTCTAACAAGAGGTTCTTTATTGCAAATATGGACACCGCAATGTCTGGTAACCTGTATTTGACTTTGACCATACATAATCATCGCAATGGCCTGACCCCTCTGAACTTCCTTTAGCCATTGTTTAATGCTACCAGAAATTAATCAAAATAGGGGAAAAGTTGTGCCTCTATGAAGACTACCTAATGGTATGACGAACAGTGTAACTCAATGTCACAACACTGCTGTGCATGAGATTTTCCCATTTCGTGCTTTCCTAGAAGACAACATCAATACAATAATGAAACATTTGGTACAGGACGATGTGCAATGTAACCTAGAGAGTTGTATGACAGATTTTAATTGTTTTTGAACAACGCCTTTGCAAGATATTTCAAAGAATGCCATCCTACATTTCTTTGTCAATTGAGTATATGATTATACACACTCATCTGCTGACTAAAACGTTAATGTCATCAAACTAAAAAATCATCTCCATTTATTGTAAGTGAGTGACCATATAGTATCGGATATATCAAGTCAGGGATGGGTACGCCACGGTCTTGATGACCATGATGTATAGGTGTCCACAGACAATAGCTGATTTAAATATGATGAAAAATAAAATTGATTGTTATATACATCATTAAACTTAAACTTATCCTACAAATCCATTTTTTTTTTTTTTTTTTTTTCATTCTTTAGAATTTAAAAATTTTCACCCATAGGATAAAGGCATATTTTTACTCTGCTTTATTATCAGTTATTTACATCTGAGCTTTAACAGTACATCAGTATGAATGTATCCCTGGTTGATGCTCTACAGTATGGGTTTTGTATCTCTGCCAGTTTAACCCTGCTGTTCCACTATCAACTGATGCCGTAGATTTTGTGAAGAATCCTACACTGTCAGATAGTATTCATTACGTGGTCTTTGTCATTGATGGTAGCACTATTGATGTTATTTAAGAGAAAGTCATCAGATTCATGCAGATGCACATGAACCAGATATGTGATATTCTGTCTTTCACTATGTTTATTTGTCAGTAATCTCCAGTTATATTCTAGAATGAAAAACAAATATTTTTCAAAGGTACTGTATAGATGTGTTAACTTTAAATCTCTTGTGGGACAGGAGACCTTTAAGGCTTCGTTGCTTATCACGGTACTTCGGCTGATGATGGCCTTAGTAGGAAATTTGCACTGATGACAACTTTCAAAGTGAAAAATGAAAAAGATTACATATGGTTTAAAAGTTGTCAGACCTCAAGTTAAATCTATTTAAGGTCTGGACTATGAAAGACTTTTGTTTTCTGTTTGTTTTTTATTGTTTATTTTCTAGTAATATATAATGCACACCAAATATAGCTCCTGAGCAATATTCAAGCTATGGTTAAATGAGTTTAAGTACATCTATACATAAGGTACAGAATAATGACAGTCAATTACGATTAGTATCTAGTTAGTTTATTTTGTACAACTTTATACAGTGTATTAGATAAGAATCAGTTGTGAACGTTATTGAACTTTGCTAATTAATGCTGTTTAAATATCTGTCTTTATACTTGGCTGCAATATAATTATGTTAGTGTAGTTCTGAAATTACTCTGATCCTCTGTGTTTCTAACTTTCATTATATATACATGAAGGACTACTGTCAAATAATTGTGATAATTATTTTTCCCATTATCAGATGTCTATGATAACCTTGAGAGCAGAATTCCTATGTATAAATATTAAATTCAAATTCTTCTTTAATATCCATTTCCATACATTTAAATAATCAATTTATGATCTGAAATAATTGTTTTTGATTTTTGTTTTGTTTTTTTTTTTTTTTTCTCAAAAAATTCTATTAGGCTTTTATTTGACAATATCTTGAAAATCTACTGAAAACAGAATGTACTGAATTATAGGACATAGTTTTTCAGTAATGACATTCTAGTGTATGATCCTGACCTTATAGACACTATTAGAACTGCATTTACATCAACTGTGGTAGCTACTGAACTGATTTACAAATGGTTAGGTTGTATATTTCCACCATGACTGCCTTTTGGTTAACTTTAACTTTTTGAAGTTTTATCAAAATTCTACATTTATCATACATTGTATTTGAAGTTTTGTACTTGAATTTTAATTCTATTGGATTTGTGTGTAGTTGATCAGCTGTATAAGTGTATTCAATACATCAATAGCATTAATGGTAGTAGTAGAAAATATACCATTAAAAATACATGTATTATAATGTCTTTTTAATAAGCTCATCACACTCATGTGAAACGTCTGAAAGTAGATCCTGACTTTTGGACACGTAGCCTAAGGCAAGATATTTTCGTATAAAAAAATGCTGAAAATATGTATGATTTCTATAATTTGTAATTCGCATAATTGATCATGAATGAATTTTAATGCTTACACGCTGTGTATCTGTTATTTGATGTATTTTTTCACGTATTTTGCCATAACTCAAAGATTATTTTTCCCATATATTATACTTTCATGGTTCCTATATATGTGGTTATGTAATCTTTAGGCTGATGGAAGAACAAAATGGCTGACAAACTAGTGCTACCCTCTGCTATTTTGACGGCAATTAGATATTGATTCTTCTATACATATTTAAACATGTAACCACATGATTTCTTAACTTAGATGGTGTTACTTAAAAAAACAAGAAAATGCCCAACTCCAAAGCACATAATTATAACTATCACCCCCATGCAAATGATCATGGGCATGCTCTTGTCAATATATTGCAGTATATGTTTCGGTCTATAATATGTTCAGTTGTGGTATTCATGTCTCTTACATGTTATTAAGTACTGAACGGGTAATCAGGGTTACATCTCTCAGTGTGCATATTAACCAATGTTTCTTCCTTCGTATTTCACTTATGCAGTACACAGTAAACACCCAAATTCTATAGTGTCTTTTTGGTTTTTTCCTCTTGAAATCGATGCAAACCAAGCCAAAGTTAAATTTATGATGGTGATAAAATCTTTATGAGGCATTGTTGTGTACATTGTAATTGATGGTATGGTCTAGAATGTTCGGTCCTTTAAACCATATTATAATACCAATGCATGTAAATATATGTTTGTAGAGTAATCCTACAGCAAGCTTACAATTTGTTAATTATTACGTCAGACATTAGGACATGGCACAACAAATGATAGTTCCTGATATTTTCATGCTGTGTGGGTGTTGTATGAAAAAAAAACCTTTCCATAACAAAAGAAAAGTAGCGAACTTCTACGGAAAGTTTCACATCATCTGATCAATGTTTATAGTTTCATGGCTTTTCTGTAACATACTCTCAACAACAAATGCATTCTGAACTGACAGAGTTACTTCCCTTCGTTCCACTATGCTTCCCTTCGTTCCACTATGCGATAGCCGTGACGTAACACAGAAGATCAGTAAAAACAACACAAACATTAGAATAGTTTTAGTCATGATGTTGTAAAAAGGTGGTCGTAAGCAAAAACAACAGGGATAAGGACGATAGTGAAACAAGAAAAAGAACCCCCTTATCGCAAATACTTGAAATTTACTTTCGCTTTCGCTTACATTACACGGAAGACGGAAAGGCAGTGTAGGAAAGACCCATTTGAGGGGACCACAAGCAGAGAAAGCTACACGTCAGTAAGTATGTCTTTATATTGTCTGATATATCATAGAATTTTTACAGTAAAATCGATTCAGAGTATACAAAGCATGATGCATGGTATTAGAGTTACGATACTTGCCGTAAAGGAGAGACGCAGTGCTCGAGTTAAAATTACATCTACATTTGATACTATTGTTAGTTTAACTGGTATATCATAATTTCATTCTGAGATATTAACAGTTTGTGATACGTTTCGGGAGTTTTAACATATTTTAGCCAAAATCTGAGTGATGATTCGCTGTTAAATGATAAAGGGGAAAATAACTCAAGAATTAAGCTTCAGGTGTTTTCGACAATCTAAGTTTTATTTCCCCGGGAGGTATATAAACTTTACCCTACATGTACCTTGACCCTAAATGATACCAGTTTACACATATCATCATTACTGTCGTGCTATCACACAAAGCCTTACAGGTTTATACGAGTTAAATACATGTGCATAAGAATACAATATATACAAACAAAATATTCAGATGTTATATGAGAATTAATTTACATTGTACGAGACGAGAAGAAAAAAGACAGACTGGTGGATAGTTGAGTACACATAAGAGTACAAACGCGTAATAGAAGGGCAATTATCATTAGATTAGTGCTGGCCAGTATCATTTTACAGGAGGTAATTGGCACAAGATGAATGATTATTAAACATCACGCAGTGCAGATAGAGGGGAGTGTAAGTATCATATAAGTGAAGTGAAATTGATATATCAATTTTACATGTACAATACAAAGGTCATTGTTTGTTACATCGTACCGTTCTGTTACACCCGTGGTTTCACTTTCGCTTGTGTTACGCGGAAGCGATGTCTTCAGCGATCCGCCTTTTGTAAGTAAGTTTGTTGAATCGTACATGTAGTTCCCCGCTTTCACTTTTGGCAATAAGATGATTAACGAAAAATCGAAGTAATTTAATTAATCAGCACACAGTGTAGATAGAGGGGAGGTGTAAGTATCATATAAGAGAAGTGAAATTGATATATCAATTTTACATGTACAAAAGTCAATGTTCGTTGTATCGTACCGTTCTGTTAGACCCATGGTTTCACTTTCGCTTGTTTTACGTGGAAGCGACGTTTTCAACGACCCGATTTTTGAAAGTATCGTACCGCTCTGTTAAACCCGTGGTTTCACTTTCGCTTGGTTTACGTGGAAGCGACGTCTTCAGCTACCCAATTTTTGTCAGAAAGTTTAACCCTACTAGAAATATGGGATAGTTCATTCATATGTAAGTCTATCATCAGTCTTATATCAACTGAGATTTTCTATTGTAATCGCCGTGGTCAGCAGTCCGTAAACATTTTTTGTTATCGCTATTTCTTGAGAAATAATGGACAGACCTTTCTCAAATTGCATATGCAGGTTCCCGTTGGTACCTAGTTGTGCCCGTGTGATTTAAGAAAGATCAGAAAAACATGGCCAACATTCGGCTATTTTTATTTTTTTCAATTAAGTTTGTTATCACAATTTCTTAAAAAAAAGTACTGGATAGATATCTCTTAAATTTCACATGTAGGTTTTCATTGGCGTCTAGTTGTGCCCATTTAATTTTATGATTAATAAAAAAAATGGCCGGAAGGTAGCCATCTTGGATTTTGACATAGAAAGTTTGTTTTCGCTATTTCTTGAAGTACTTGATAGATCTTTCTTAAATTTCATATGTAGGTTCCTTTTGATCCCTAGTTGTGCCGGTTTGATTTTGGATCTGATCAGACAGCCATCTTGAATTTTGACTTTGCAAGTTTATTATCGCTATTTCTTGACAACTACTCTATAGATCTTTCTCAAATTTCATATATAGGTTTCTTAAGAAGTACTGAATGGATATCTCAAATTTCATGCGTATGTTGCCATTGGTCTCTCCTTTTACCCATTTGATTTTGGGATTGATCTGAAGAAACAAAATGGCTTCCTGGTGGCCATGTTGGATTTGCATGGTAAAGATTATCATCGCAATTTACTGCAAATTTCAAATGTCATATTAAGGGCAAAAACAGAGAAGAGAAAAGAAGGGAAAATATCGAACTTTCAAAGAGCAGATAAAAATTAAACCATGGAGGGCGCCAAGATCCGTCTGGTTTATATCATACAATAACATTGCATGAAATACATGTGCATTTGTGACTGGTCACAGTGTAATTATTAACATATCTAACGTAAAGATAACGAGAACAGTACAGGTATCGGGGCAGTTAAGGGATGTGTCCTCTTACAACTCTGTTCACAAATAATTTAATGAGACTGACTGGGCTCATATTTTTTTTTATGAAAATGAAAGTAAGAAAACCAGTAAAATACTAATTACACAATTTTAATGAAGACACACATAGAAATAGATACCTTTCATCGGGTCCCACGTATTTGATATGAATCGGGTTTACTTTGTTTTGCAAATATTTGCAAAAATGTCGGCGATTGTGCGCTTCGCAGACAAGTGATGAGTAAACCATCCCCGATTCCTCCATTCGGAAGATTATCTGTTTACTGTAAATTTTGTTTCGGATTTTGAATTTTTCTTCTTTCCGGGAATATCACAGACACTTAATTATATTGCTTGCTATTCTAGCTATTAAACGAAGATTGCTCAATAGACACACAAGTGAATAACACATTCAATACAAATTTATATAAAACAAAGTAGAACCAATTTATAAATCAAACTGAATCTATAACTGTTTTGTCCTTCTAGGACTCGTCAGTGATACTAAGGGCCTAGATTTTAAACCTAAGATGCGACGGGGAAAATTCAAGTTAATCGAAAGAAATGTCAAAATCTACATGGAGGATTCAATAGCCCCCTTAATTCAGTATTCGTATAATTCATATATATTACAATTTAAGAAAAATGACAAGTACATCTGTATATTTTGAACCGTGCCACAATTCTAATGAATTCAAACGTAGCTTGCAGTTTACAGCAAACCTCAAGGACTAAATAGTACACAAGCAGTGTCTGCCATCTGCAATCTCGAAGATTGTAAAAAAAAAGTGAATAGCATATATTGTCTAGAGATTTAGATAAGTTTAAGAAGAACAGAGATAGGCATGATTCATAAAAGTTAACATTAGAGTTAAACAATAAATTAGATTGCATCATACAGTTACTTCGTCCTTCTAGGACTTTTATGTGATGATATGAGCCTGAATTTTAAACCTGGTTTGTGACTGAAGAAAATCCAAAGTGATAGAATGAAAGGTATCACCTTGAATGATCTAGCGTTCAGTATAGCAGTTTTAGAAAGTATTACAAACGGTAAGCGGAAAAACGCCGCCGTATTGCAAACCAAATTATACATGATGCAGACCAAATACGTAAGACTCCTTTTAGACGTGCTCCATCATAAGACCTAGTTTCTTCTGCGTTATCGCCATCCACAATGCAAACAAATATATATACTTAAAGGAAAAGTAAAGTAAAAGCGTGTTTTCCAGATAAGAACTGCGATAATATCAACGAAACCATCATTCATGATAACGACCATTAAGTAAGTATAATGTTTGGCAGTGGCATAAAGATAACGACATATGACCGCAGTCTCATCAATCATGGAACTTGTTTGTTTACAATGAAGGAATCGCCATACATAAATGACATATATTACTATTTATATATATAGGTAAAATTAGTTGTGAATTGACTCGCTTATCACATAGCTCTTATCAATCAATCAATTTTAGGAATTAGCTGTTGAATCTTATTAACCCCTCCCCCCTCCCCATTTATATTTCAAGGGCCTGTCATCATTTGTTCTTTTTTGTCTGAAGGCACTGTATCGCAATTACCTGAAGGTAAATTGTATGGACTTTTGTATGAAAACGACATATAATTTCTGCCAACAAAGTAGCAGTTATATGAAGATTCTAAGGAAACGAAATGTTGTTTGGCTAAATTTGGAAATTTGGATGATTGGTCTACTAACTTAATATAAATAACTGTAGCGGTTATTGAATCTGGGCTGAAACATCGCCTGCGTTATGTTTAATAGAAGGATTTATTTAGAATACGGGGGTGGGGGTGGGGGGAGGGGCTGTAGAGACTGAGAAATGAAATAATGATTTCGCGATTCATGACCGTTCACTTATCCGTTATGGTGTTCCTCCTTGGGACTCATTTATATCCGACGTTTGACCATGTCCCTTGTCGGAATCCCTTATCAGGCCCTATGAGCTTTATTCTGGAGATTAAGTCAGGTAGACCTACCTCCTGTCCTGATTTCTCACACGAAAAATACTCTCCAGAAATGCATAAATTCCCTCGTGACTTTTACGCGCTGTACATATAATTACATGTATAAGGCGATCGAAAAAAAAATATGCAGCACAATCAACACCGAAGCCAACACTGACAGCGTGATAAACTTTAATGGTTCAAATTTTATTGCTGAATACAATTACCGGGTAAGAGGTAACTTCTTTTTGGTACTGGGAACTGACTTATGCCCTATTAATGTACATATTATGTAGGAAGTCTGTTTATGCTTTAAGTATGTTAAGTATTTAAAGAGCGAATATATCTGGGCGTTGACTCTTGGATGCGTTTTATAAACGGTCTTGAAATAGGACAAAGCATAATTACAATATGTTTACGTTTTCAGTCAATACAATGGCAACCGAGCTTACACAAATCCACAAGAATCATCTTTCCAGATGGATTAGCTCATCGAAAAAACACAAGTATACACTACTATACAAGATCAGCCGGGACGGATGTTGTTCAACGACCTTCCATTCTTTCTGTGACAACAAGGGGCCCACTGTCACCATCCTATACAATACCAATAACTCGGTGTATGGGGGATACACCGCTGTCAGTTGGAATTCCAATGGTGCTTATGCCATCGATGCTAAGGCCTTTCTTTTTAGACTTGAATATAATGGATCAAATCAACCCATGAAGTTTCCTATCAAAACGAACGGAACCAACGCGATCTATGGACATGCCTCTTACGGGCCAACATTTGGTGGGCATGACTTACATTCTTTTGCAAATACTGTGAATAAATCAGGAACATATTTTCCTTTAAATGGTAACGTGAACGGATGGGGAGTAACCTACGACTTTCAAGGACAGAACTACAACTCTGTAATGAATGGAAACTTACAGGTACTAGACCTGGAAGTCTACAGTGTAGAAGGTAACATATCTAACGCACACGTGTGATGTGGACAAAGATATCTCAACCCGAGGGGAACATTAAACGAGGGTTTAGATTTGTCTTTTCACATCGCACAGAGGTGGTAAAAGAAGTGACGTTGTTGCAACGAAAATGCATGAAAATACCTCTTCTGATGAGTTGATCTCTCCCTTGCAAAACGTTATTGCATAGTAAAGTTCGTGATAAAATTTAATTCACCCCTTTACAACTATTAACAAATATAGTTTTACGTAAGACTTCTCGAAAAGGAATAACTGATTGACGTAACTGTCAGTCCTACCGTGAAATATTAATTAAAAACGTTCTATTTTACTTAAACGAGTTTTAAGTTTGGAGCCAATATCAATTAGAACGTGAAAAATATACAACCTCACGTTATTTTTGTGCTTAAGAAATATCATTCCATATAGAGTCGCACCATTTGTTAGAATACATATATTGGGTTACCCAGTAATTACTCGTTCTAATTCTTTCATTAATAGAAAAAAGATTGAGTTCATAATTTTTTTTTTAAATTTTGTGACATTGTCTTCCAAAAATACAAAAGAACCTCGTTGCAGATTTAACTATAATAAGTTTACTGGCTTCGGAATAAAATTAGAGCGCCAAATTTCAGTAATGCTTGTAATAATATAACTAGTCAATTAGTTAAATATCGGATTATTGGATTTCTTCTGCCTTCATCTATATAATCTTTAATATTTTTAGAACAGGAATTGCTTCAGAAGCCATGGATTCAAGATGTTGAGTGGAGTAGTAAGGTAAGATACATCTGCTGATATACAAAATCACAGACGGTAAAGTAAATGTCTTTCTCTTTATCTAAAGCCCTTTGTCATACATGTAGTTATAATATTTCCATATAGCAATCTCTTCATACTTTGTTTGTAGTATGTCTTTTGATATTGCTTATTGTTTAATATTGCCACTTGCTAAGATAATGTATCCGACGTTCACATAGAAGTATGCAGTGTTCCAAGGTTATTTTACCATTACGGAACACCTGGTCTGATTCTTCTTTTACTTTTGCAGGCGTCTCTGTGTAAATCTTTTGTTTGTTCGTATTATGTCCTTTGGATTATGATTATGTGGAAATGTTGGTATTTTCTTGTTGCCTGTTGTTTTTTTATTCTGGTGGAAGTTGCAGTGTAGTCATAGAAACGACACACTTGAATTTGCTACTGGTTATGCTAAAGTTCTTTTGACATAACCAACCAGAAAAAAAATATTCCTTAGAAAATGTGTCTTTAGTTAGCCATTTAGAGGTTAGCAGCGATGTCTATGAAATTTTAACAGATGCGTCTGTCATTTTGATTTTCCAATCATCCCATTTTAATCAACTGATGAGTCCTTGACACTGACGATTTCATTGAAAATTTGCAGAAAGATTCCAAGGTAAAACAAACTTGTAAACAATATGGTCTCACTTCACAGGATGAGCGGGCCAGAATTATGAGCCAAAATGTTGCAATTTCGAAAATCATCTTTTCATTACCAAAGTATGGTGGAATCTAAAATTTAAAATGTCATGACATAGAGGCTGACATTTCTCCCTCGGATGGAAGTAAAGTTTACTGTAGTTGTTATAGGAAAATTATATTTTTCAGTGTAATTTCTTCTCTGCGGCCATAACATGTGATGGCAGTTATGCAGTTTTTACATTTGCATTGCATTGTACAATATAGTTCAAGTTATCTAACTTTGTGAACAACATTTTTTCTATGACATGATATAAGGCCAACAACAGCATTGCAATCCGGGTGATAGTTAAGGCTCTTTGGCCTCTTGTTCATCGTGCTGCTCACTCGCATGTCAGTTGCACACTTCTGACATATTACACAGAAACAAGGAATCAGAAATTATGGAAACAGAAACGGATTCATTGACAATATGATAAACAAATGATACTAGAGAAATAAAAAGGGCCTCAGATAGTTACATTACTTTCAGCTTGAGGAAGACATCAAAGACAAAGTGGCCATGTATAAACCGTTACCTGGACTGGATCTCAAGCAGGTTAGGATATTGTTGGTCGGTCAAGTCGGGGCTGGAAAGTCAAGCTACTTCAATACCATCAACTCTATATTCCGTGGACATATAAGTGGCCAGGCCAACGCTGGAAGTGCGGAACACAGTCTAACTACAACTGTGAGTAGATATACATTAACTACAAAATACCAAACTAAAAATATGCATTGCTATCTTTAGAATAGGATAGTATGTCATCGATTAGGACTAAGTTATCGAATCAACATCAATATTTGGTGGGATGTCAAAATTGTTCAATCATTCAATTCGTTTTATTGACGACTGTGCAGCAGAGTAAGAGATAGTGATCAAATAATTAATGCAACAGTACAGTGACGTGTTCAAGTAGTATTTTTAATATGTTTGTGATATATGCAACCAGTTGTCTGTTACATAACAGTATGTTGAACATTTTCCTGTCCTATAGGAAGTAGTAAATACGAAAAACAAAACCATCAACGTCAAATTGTGAGAACTCTGATTGCTTATTTCAAACAGATATTGGCGTTAGCATTCTTGTTTTCTATTTTCTTTCATGGTTTGTATTATTTTTGTGTATGTAATAATAGAAAGAAAGGGAAAGAAAACAAATAGACTAATTGTTCAGGTAAACTTATTCAGATGAAGATATTTGCTAGCTTATTTGGATATATGTTATCAAAAAAGTGAAAGTTGTTGCGATTCCATTTCCGATTTGTTGAATCTATTTCAAAATATGAAATCAATGAGATATTGGTTGCTATGTTTTTTTCATTATTTTATATATATTTTTATGTATTTTATTTAGTACCGGGTGTATCAAGTCAGGGACGGTTACGCTGGTAAACCTCTCAACTTCCGGTTATGTGACACGCGTGGTCTTGAAGAGGATCAAGGTCTTGACGACCATGAAGTTGGCTACCTACTCGACGGTCATGTACCAGACAGGTACAAAGTGAGTGTAAATGTATAAATTTATTTCCTTAGACAATCTTACATGGATCTTTTCCATATGCACTGCATTGACGGGCAAACAAATGCAGTTTATGAAAAATGTTTAAAACATATACATACGAGAGTTTATTGAAGCTGTTAGCCTTATATTTAAGGGTTTGGCTTTTGGCGGACATAATCCCTTTGGGTATCTATAAACTTTTGCTAGCGATGTTTAAGGGGCTCAATGTCACTTTTAACTTAAAGAAGTCCTTTTCTTGACCGTTCAAGAAGTGATCGTGGATGTGACTTCATATTTGAGATACACTGCATATAAAAGTTGTTCACTCTTGTTTATATGAAGCTGCCAAATAATTAGCCCAGCCATCGCGGTATATTTTCTTAAAAACATTAAGAAAAACTCTTCAAACAATGCTGCATTTTCCGCTAACCACGTAGACAGCAAGCAGTGTGACATTGTTTAATGGATATTTTGCTAGCTTTTTGCGTTTGATACATTCACTTTTGTAGAATGTTTAATATAACAGGTCCTGTATGCTACGTTTATTTTGGGGCTGCGGCACCTCCCCGTCTTGATGTTGACTTTTATTTCGATCACTTTTGATTTTCCTCAGGCTTGAAGCCCTCGGCACCGCTGACGAGTCCTAGAAGGACGAAACAGCTCTATGATGTATTTTAATTAATTCTTTAGAGCTTCTGTACCTAACTCTAAATTAATGAAATGTGTTCACCTTACTGTGATTTGCCGTTTACGTTGTTTGTTACTAAATACTCCGATATCAGATTCTACTGTATGTATATCAACTTATGTATATTGTATATTATTGCCAGTTCAACCCTGCCGTTCCACTGACACCTGACACCATAGGCTTTGTGAAGAATCCTAAGTTAGCAGATAGAATCCACTGTGTGGTATTCGTCCTAGATGGTAGCACTGTTGATGTTACTCCTGATAAAGTTATGGAACGCATCAAATCAATGCAGATGCGCATGAACCAAAGAGGTACAGTTCAGTTTTTGCACTCTTATTCTTTCACAAGGTTTGTTCTCCGACGAATGACCTTGACACATATTTCAAAATAAGAACGAGATGTATTGTACTATTATTATTTCTGAATACCAGGGAAATATTTGGTATGTAGCATGCTGAGACATAAAGTATGCTTGATCGCTCCTATAAAAAAATTGGTCCTTACACAATATTCAAATTATCTACAACATTAATATAACGTGCTGTTCCAATAATCTGTTGTTTATGATAATATGAGATGTTTTTACATCAAACAATTGACGACATACAAAAGCTGTTTTGTATAGTTTATTCAAACATTAATTCATGCTTACAAATTATAGTTGAAACATATATCCGAGGTCAACACTTTATTAAATGTCATATTGAGAAATTATTAATTTTTTTTTTTTTGAATTAAGACAATTTTCAAAGCAGTTTAGTTTTCCTTCATACTAAAGCATGGAAATACGTGAATAACAATTTTGACTCCTCCAAACTACCCCTTTTGTTCGAAAAAAATGTGAATTGAAACAGAAAATATTCTACGCCATATCAAGTCTATCTACACAAAAGCAGGGTAGTTGATCCCCGTTGCGCAAAATTTATACCACAGCCAGTCAGCATACGACACCGGACAATTTATAGCTGGTATTGTGGTATTGCCTTGACCTACATCATTAACAAGTGTCAGCTGGAATTATTCATCCACTTATTTTGCTGCTTTAAAAAGCTTATACCTTAACAGCATGATGGCATTTAAATGAATTTTAAAACATTATGAGCATCAATTGTCAAAATCATCTGGTATTTGTTCATCACAGGGATACCCCAGGTTGTATTGCTGACAAAAATCGACAGAATCTGTGCGGAGGTCTCAGACGACATCAGAAGGGTGTTCTTCAGTCCAGCGATGAAGGAGTGTGTTGACAGGGTTGCCACAGTGATGGGTTTACCTAGATCACACATACTTCCTGTCAAGAACTACGAAAGTGAGGTGGAACTTGATCAGAATACCAACATCTTATCACTACTCAGCCTCAGACGAATGCTACACTTTGTTGATGACTTCCTGTACAACAAACTGGATGAAATGGAGGATGCCAAAGCACAACAAAATGTAATCAAGGAATAAGACATCAGATAACAAAGAACATTAATCTTTATCGTGAGAAGAAAATCAGAAGTTAGAAATTCAAAATTCTTTCTTATATCTATGTTAATTTCACACTTCGAGTGAATACTTTTATATGTAAGCAAATGTCGGAAAGAAGTGTGTTAGATACGAATAATCGCTTTATGGATTTTCAGGTACGAGTACCGCCTATTTTCAAAAAACGTTTTGTATGATAAAAACCAGAAACAGACGTCAAGTTTCTCAAACATATTGTATCCAAAACTTGTGTGGAGAGATATTTTATTGGGTTCTCTGCATCCATCTGCGTATGTACAGGGACCAGAGCTTTGAAACCGTTCAAAATACATGTAACTACTCGCAACTTTGTACAACTATCAGGCTAATTCTCTAGTACTGACTTTTGCTTTGGAGATGTTCTACAATAACATTTTTCTGTATCCATGGAAACAGATTTCATTTATATGGAACATAACTTTATAACTGTTCTTGAGAACCACAGACTTTATACTACTATGGGGCAACTAACATTCTTGTAGTGATTTTTGCTCTTTCGTTATTTTTGAAAGCTTTTTTGTTAATGTGGAAACGCAAAACTACAAGTGCTTCGTGTACATTTTGTGCAAGTTAGCACTGACTTGGTGCCTTTAGCTATTGGAGAGGTTTGATTTTTTTGCTGCCATTGTAAGAGACAAAATACATTTGTTTTTATATATCTAGAGGATAAAGATATCAAAAATAATAAAATTTTAATGAATTTGCATTTGGATTATGATTATGTTGAAATGATGGTGTATCTTTTTTTGTTGTAGTTTTGTTTTTTGTTTTTTGTTTGTTTTTTTCTATATCTATGTGGAGTTTACAAAAACTGAAAACATTTGAACTTTTGGTCATTAATAATCTACAATATATCAACCATCACGTACGTGTATAAATACGCCATAATACCATTAGCATTGTCTTAAAGTTATATTCATTATAATTAATTAATAAACATACATCTAAATGACTTAAAATCAATGCGACATATTCGAAGGTTACATATATGATAAAACTGCAATATTAAGTTCCACTATTGCACTGTAATCATATGGCATCGGATTAAATTACCTTTACATTACAATGTTCTTGTTAGACTTTCAGGTCACATAAGGCCGCCAAGTCTCAAGTGGCCTATTGTTATCGCCTTTTTTTATTTTTTTATTTTTTTTTATTTTTTTTTTATACATTTTATTGACTAAGACGAGACATAGATAAGATTACAAATGTGTCCTCACACAGGAGGGCTCTCATACTTTCACACATCATTCAGACTTCTCATATTCCAGACTATGAAATACATGTACACACACCTACACACATACTTTTAGTCCTAAATGTTCATACTAACATTCCTTACATTCAACATTACGACTGCTAACAATAAGCTAAATCTAAACATAACTGTACACCTCTCACCATTCTCACTGTTACCACATGTACACAATTCACATTTACAGGATTCCCCCCACCCCTCCCCCAAGAAAAAAGAGTGACATTGTGTGCAAAAGGGTACCCCGGGGCATTGTCAGAGGGCCTTACCCAACTGAAACATCACTCTTGATATGTGTTTTGTTACTAATGATCTTACAATATAGAAAGGGGAATATATATTAGCAACGTTAAGTATTTTTATATGTCCAACGCATTTTCAAAACATCCCCATTTTTGTTGAAATTCCGCTAATCCATTATTCTTTATACTAACCCACTTTTCAGTTTTCATTGTCTTTTTGAATAAAATTTTACAAATTTCAAAGTTAGGTATGCACTCTTTAACTCGACAAGAGTAAATGTGCTGTTTTAACAATAGTATTAAATGATTCAAACAGAGTCCGAATTCAGGTTTTCCAAACAAAATATCTACTTCTCTAAACGATGTATATATATGTAGATTATTGTACTGTACATACCGGGGCAGTAAATTCCTCAATTAATCGGATGGTGAAATAACACTGGGTGAAGATGTGTTCCAATGTTTCTGGTTCTCTTTCACAGAAAGTACAAAGTTCATTGGATGCTATTTTCATTTTGAATAAGATATAGTTTGTAGGAAGTTTTCTTTGACAAATTTTATATTGAAATGCTTGAAGTTTGGTCTCTTTTGTACATTTAAAACAACTAGTGTATACATCACCTCAACTAATATTTTCGTTAAAATTAATTTTTGTTGCCCATTTTACTTGACATCTTAATGGCTTAATAACTATCTTTTCAATGAACATTTTATACACACACTTTAAATTCTTTTCAATCATAATTGAAGAAATGATGTCCTTTCCTTTAATAGGAATTTGCATTTGGATTATGATTATGTTGAAATGATGGTGTATCTTTTTTGTTGTAGTTTTGTTTTTTTGTTTTTTGTTTGTTTTTTTCTATATCTGTGTGGAGTTTACAAAACTGAAAACATTTGAACTTTTGGTCATTAATAATCTGCAATATATCAACCATCACGTACGTGTATAAATACGCCATAATACCATTAGCATTGTCTTAAAGTTATATTCATTATAATTAATTAATAAACATACATCTAAATGACTTAAAATCAATGCGACATATTCGAAGGTTACATAAATGATAAAAGTCATGAAAAGTAAGATAATAAATTTGTACTGCAATATTAAGTTCCACTATTGCACTGTAATCATATGGCATCGGATTAAATTACCTTTACATTACAATGTTCTTGTTAGACTTTCAGGTCACATAAGGCCGCCAAGTCTCAAGTGACCTATTGTTATCGCCTTTTGTCTGTCGTCGTGTGTTTTCCATCGTGTTCAAGTGAATGACCTTGACCCACTTTGAAGGTCACAGGGGTCAAACGTTCGAATATTTTTATTTCTTTTCCGTTGGAATTACAAAATAGGATGCAATTTCATTGTCAAGTAGGTTCAGTGTTTTGTAAACTTTACCGCAGGATCTTAAGAGTTGAATTTGGTCACATTTCTGCAATATCCTTTGAATCAACACTTACTACAAGCAATACTCTGCAGGCTTTAATCTGTATGCTAGATATTGGATAAGGCTATTTTTGTAAGTTTTTGCTTGGCATTTGTTAAAGACAAAAATTTAACAAAGGTGACTCAGGCATTTTTATCACAAACAATTGTAAAGAGATTCAGGACACCTTTTGTGTTTTCAGAGAAACAGTGGAGATACAAATGGTTTACAGCAAATTAACTTTCCTTTTGGGATCAACAGGATTTTTTGCACCTGGCAACTAGATTTAATTTTGAAACACTTTTTGAAAAAGATATTAGCTAATTTACTTAATTTAAGTCCCGAAAACAACTGATTGGTATCATACTTGTATAAACGGGTAAGCTGATAATTACAGTAATGAATTACTTGCTAAATCTGACTTCATTTTGTAGATCGGGGATGAAATATTCTACCTTTGCCTACTTGCTTGTCTACTATTTACCATGGTCATCATTTTCATCTTAGAATGGACATCTACATAAAGAATGCATACTTATAATGAACATGCTATGTTAATTATCACTCCATGTAACTGTTTTAGAATGGTTAATCAATATTAAAATAAACTTGACAATAATTAGATCGTGTCGTCTCTTTTATTTCTCTGCACTACGTATATGCACTGTACTAATTCTGAAAAACAACACATAATATTTGCTTAAAACCGATATAATGACAAAGGAAATGAATGTTTAATTGAATAAATGATACTTTTATTTGTAAGTATTCTACGAAACAGGATTACATAAAGCTACAATATATAGAAACATATTGTGCTTAACATCAGCAAAACATCAAACAAAACAAGAAATCTGATTTCCCCAGCAGAGGATTTTCAAAGAATTTGAAATTTTCGCTTTTATCTAAATACCTGAACTGAACAGTTACGGAGTCGTACTCATGGGCAATGTGACAAATGTCACATATAATTCGCTAAACAGCAACAGGGCTGTTATCACGGAGATTATTTATGAAGTAGTGACACTAAACAGAGACCGTGGTTGTGTTATGGTAACGACTTAATGCTCTACAGACCGGTTCATTTCTTTACCCTGTTGAACACAAACCACCACAGGTAGAGCGAGTAGAACTAAACAAAACTTCAGGGATATTCCACATACTGACCAACTAGTTCTATATTTAGATTTTTATTTGAGAGTCTTTGTGTTTATATTCCTCAGTAAATTTATAGCTGTCAGTTTGGTCGACAGTGCATTGTTGCTACAGTACAGTGTGGAGTCGTGCTGGACCTATGTCACGTAAGTAAAATGTCACCATAACCTAAAACATGCATGTGTAGCGTCATTCCTCTCATACTAAATATACATGTAGGTGTATTTCAAACCGGGTACGTCACATCTTCGCTGCTGCACATGTACGCGTGTGTGCTGCTAATATACAAATGTACATGTGGCTCCGTTGAAAATATTAGGCGACGGGGTCAATAACGTTGGATATTTAGATTTTTTCACGGGGAACAATCAGTAACACCGAAATTTGGCGCTTTCCATTTTTAGGTACACGTAAATGTACATTGATAGAGTGTCAATTCGCTCTGTAATACACGTTCTATATCAAATATTACTCCCATTATCTAAACTCGCTTAAATACTGTATAACCTTTCATGTAAGATCACACAAAAATGGATTTTGAGAACTTGTATATTTAGAATGACGGCTAAGTATACACATGTTGTCGGACCGAACGGTGGCCGAACGAGGCCGGACCACAGGGATTAAGCACGAATTCTCGACCCATGGTCCAAATATAGCTCGAACGAACGAACGAACGACCGGAAAGGTCATTGTTAAACGTTTTTCCCTGGATGTTCATTCAATCTTACCTTGCACCAGACAGCTAATGAGATAAAATCCCGATATAAAAACGTCATGAGTACGAGTACAGCGCGTGACCACCCGGTGTTACAGCTCAAGGCTACCTGTAGTGTTACCTGTGCAGCTGTAGATATGCAGCTCTACCTATATTTTATCATTCATTTAACTGAATAAAAGTTATTTTGAAAACAAGGGGAACGTATAGCTGAGAGTTCACCTTTTTATACCCTTTCTTTCTAGTTGAATGAATACGTTATCTTCGAATATAATTAGACTTGAGTGTACAATCTATACATGTTTGTCAGTGTCTTTCATATTCTAGTTGTATTTACAGTTATCATTTCTTTACAAATGTATTTTTATGTAAACTTTATGTAATACATATTTTTGGTTATTAAACTGAACTAAAATACTTTTTAATACATTCATCCATATTTCTCGCACACTCTCCTCTCCTTATTCTTACTTATTAGTTGACACATTTTAGTTTTTCACCTATAGTATGTACGTATATCACATATTTTGAATTAATAAATTAATTAAAATAATTAAAAGAAATGTTAGAATTCTTATACAAGACATTTTCTACAAAATACAGCAATAAGTATTGCAATGTGAACGTGATTCGTGATACAACTGCAATCAGCATCCCCACCATAAGAGATGGGCGTGGTGTGTGAGGATTTTCATCAATATATTGAATATTTACAGCGGGTAAAGATCTTCGAAGTTATATATTCAGGTATGACGGGAATAATCTACACAAATATATAAAGAGTATGGTTGTTCACTGGGTGTGTTTCTCACTGAACAGCCCATGTCACATTGAGGCGGGATCTCTATGTAGAAGCCTTTGACTATCTCGCTGAACACCATGTCCTGCCACGTATGATATTAAGAGTTATTGTAAAGAGCCGTGCAAAGCTATTTAGCCACGATAGTACTGCGGGCTGAAGGCGGGCGGGAGGGGGGGGAGGGGGAAGGGAAGACGGGATGATAATTTAGCTTCAACTCGGGTAGGATCACACCACCAACCTCTTATCTGTGCCCAAGGTCCGAAGTTTACCGACTTGTAATCTGCTTAAACTCAAAAATTATTTAAACGACGACAATCTTCCGTATGAACAAAAGAAAAATCAACATGGAGACATTAAAAAAGTACAATGAAGAAAAGTGGCCTGGGAGTACGAACATCTTGAAAGGATGTCTTAACAAGCTTAGGTATTATTTCAATCGTACTCTAACCTCACCTATGTTCTTACAGAGTTGCTCGTCAAGATGGCCGGATTCCTGGCTTTATATGTGGTATCGCTGATAGTCGCACCTGTTGCAAGCCAGTTTGCACCTATTGTTGTCACTCCGTCCGGACCAATCAAAGGCGTAATCGTCCCAGCACTTGGACAAAATGTTTTGCAGTTTCGAAACATACCATATGCAAAACCTCCGATAGGTGAGCTGAGGTTTAGAATACCGGTGCCAATCGAACCGTGGACAGAGCCATTGGACGGTACAGCATTCGGACCGTCTTGTATACAGTATAAAGAGCTACTTGCCGGCGTGTGGGAAGGACTCGAGAATCAAGAGCTGTCTGAAGACTGTCTGCAACTTAATGTGTTTGTTCCACGCGCCATAACTACATCTGAGAAAAAGGCTGTGATGGTTATGATCCACGGTGGGTCGTTTTTGATAGGACAGGCCGCTGCTGATGACCCTTCCTACCTGGCACTAAAGGATGTCATTGTCGTCAGCATCAACTATCGTCTGGGCATATTTGGTTTCCTTAGTACTGGAGATAATGTGATTCCGGGCAACTTTGCAATCTGGGATATGATAGAATCCCTCAGGTGGATTAACCGGAATATTGCGTCTTTCGGTGGAGATCCGGACAAAGTGACCATATTTGGTGAGTCTGCTGGAGGTTTTGCGGTATCGACACTAGCAGTCATTCCTAGCATAAAAGGTCTCTTTCATCGGATCATTGCACAGAGTGGCGCCGTGACCAGCTTGATGGCTTTTTCCAGAGATCCATTAAGAGTAACGAAAGCGATGGCTCAACAACTGAAATGTATTCCAGACACTGATGCTGCAATAGACAACACTGTGCTAACGGAATGCTTCCAAAAGAAGACCGCAGACGAATTATTAGAGGCCCAGATGGACCCTACTCTGAACGTCGAATACTTTGGATACTTTTCGTTACGGTCAGTACTCTGGCCGGTTGTCGATGGTGAATTGTTTTTTGAGGAGCCGACTGAAAGCCTTAGGAATCTCAACTCAGACGTGTCTGTTTTCTATAGGTCCTTGGATGTGATAGCGGGAACTACAAGCAACGAAGGGTCGCTCACTATGTACATGTTCAATGACCATCAGAAATCCCTACAGTTTGATATAGAACAAGGATTGCCGACCCGTGTACTTTGCGAGGTCCTAGGACCAGCCGTAGCCAGGGATATGTATGGAGATGAGTTACTCTCTGATGCCATTTGCAAGGAGTACAGTTCAGACGACCCACTGCAACAAAGTAAAAATATCAACTATTTGTACGAGGATTCGTGTTTTGTAGCACCAACGTTACAACTTGTTGAATTCCATGCTCAGGACAGGACATCTTCAAATACATATCATTACGTGTACAGTCAGCCACTGAATTTTACTTACTTATTCCCACTACCAGCCTGGATGGACGGGATGGGTGCTGGACATGCAATGGAACTTCCTTATCTGTTTGGTCCAGCTAGTCAACAAGATGAGTCGCTAACTACGGAGGAAGGGAGAGCCTTTACGGATGTTTTAGTGTCATACTGGACAAACTTTGCAAAAACGGGGTAAGCACATCCATTTATTACAAAAATCGTGCTAAAAAAGTCTTACTTTTCCCTAATCACTCTTTCTGAAATAATTTCTTTAAAAATATTAGATAACCCACGAGAATGAAAGCAAACCCTCCCCCACCCCCCAAAAAAACCCTCTTTTCCGTTTGCATACAATTGTAGGTCATTAAAGACATGTTCATCGTTATAGTGTTTAGAATCCCTTTACACTCAGGTGTGATACCTGGATTTAATTATACGTTCTAGACTTCATCTGTTGTGTGTGTGTTTATATTTATCATACTGATGCTCAATTTTTATTTTCGTATTTAGCAATCCGAACGGCGTTGGTCTGGTGCCGTGGGAGAAATTCAGCATTAAGACTAGGGACTATCTGGAACTCAAATTCAAGCCCGTGCAAGGACAGAACCTTTATGAAAGAAGGATGAACTTCTTGTTACACGATCTTCCTAACATGGTTCAAAACAAAGCCAAAACAGAGCTGTGATCCTTCTTTCACACATGATCTCAACCAAGAATATCTCAATAAGTAACTGCAATATTTTGTAATAAAAAAATTGCCAATTTGTTGTCTTTTCCGGAAATAAGTCACAAATATGCATTTGTGCAAAATTCTAATTTTACTTTCACACAATACAACTGTCACAGTATTGTAATCTTATTTTCTAATCATGTATCGGTACCTGTAAAATGTATATAAATAGATATGATGCTTCAAGTTTTAATAAATGATTTGGTTTGAACTAGGTCATTAATTACCAATGATTATTATTTATCACATAATCTGTGTGTCATCCAGTGAATTTGCCCATGAACTTCTGTGCTTTTGTCACTAATGTAATTTAACCTGGAGCGTTTGTCATTGACTGTACCACTCCGAAATCGATTATCATGTCCTTCGTGTAATATGGACCATGGCGTTACGTCACTGAAAAACAAAAATGACAAAAATTGCTGCCATCATTTGATTTTGTCTTTCACATTTTTTTCCTTTCGTTTTTTTTTTTTTTTTTTTTACTTAAAATCTTTCTTGAATATGTGATAAAACGTGTCCTCAATCTGTTTCCATCTCATTTAAGATTTTATGATTTTGCTCGTCAATGCTCAAAAAATAAGTCTAAAGATCCCTTATATTACACTATACCAGGTAACGCAGGCACCAATGAGAGACAGAGAATGATACACAGTGCTATGTGAGATAGTTTATAAAAAACGGTACCAATGTGAGAAAGTATATGATGTACGTTAGCAATTTGATGAAGCAGATTGTGAGATAGCGTGTAATACACGGTATTATTTTGAGATAGCGTGTAATACACGGTATTATTTTGAGATAGTGTTTGATGCACGATGCCATTGTGAGATAGTGTTTGATGCACGATATCATTGTGAGATAGTGTTTAATGCACGATTTCATTGCAAGATAGTGTTTGATGCACGATATCATTGCGAGATAGTGTTTGATGCACGATATCATTGTGAGATAGTGTTTGATGCACGATATTATTGTGATATAGTGTTTGATGCACGATATCATTGTGAGATAGTGTTTGATGCACGATATCATTGTGAGATAGTGCATGATGCACGACAGACAAAAGTGGCCCGAAGGTGGCTCGCCACTTTTGTCTCTATATATGTGCATCGTATTGATCAAATTGCACATGCTTTTGGGCAGTGCCGATATACTAGTCTTCTCTGTTAAAGAGTAGTCTGAGTGTTTTAATATATTTCGGTATGAAATACGTCCGAATTCTTAAAAGCGATTAGGAATATATAAATTTCATTTCGTTATATTTTAAACATGGCGTGGGGCTATAAGCGCGGTTAGGTTTACGCGCGTGCTCACGTGCTGGGCGAGTTTAGTGTGGTCACACCTGTAGGATTTTTACCTGTTCTGATCATCGACGAGACTGTTACACAACATTACGGACGTATTTTGCAAAATGAGCGAGGAACGGACAGAACATTTCAATTCTGGGAATGGTTCTGAACATTCTAGCAATAATTTGTCCACGTAGGACGCTCTCTCCTTGTTTTCCTCCCGTTTGCACACAGCTCTGTGTATGCACAGAAGGCAAATTCTTGAGGAGTTTGATAAGAAACTTCGTGTACACGAGCCGAGTGCCCAAGGTGATGTTCAAGTTTTCATCGAATGAAAAGCAGTTTACTTTCAATTCGGCCCGTGTTTCTGAAGTGAAGCGTTCTATTTCATTGGTCAAACAGGGTAACTGTGTTCAAGCTGTTGAATTACTAGAAAAGTGTATTAACTCTATTTCTGAACGTAATAAGTTGGTGAGAATTGCGGACAAACATGGGTGGGACACAGTGGACGAATATATGGATGACCCTATCGCTGATGGGCCTGATGACTCCCTTCGTCTCAGGCAAAGATAGACCAACTCCAATGTTTCAGCCACTCAGTCTAAACCCTATTCAAAAGGAGGTTCGCATCAACGTGGGGGCTATGGAGGCGGTCCTTTCCAGGACCCCCAGCAATCTTTTCGAGGCCATCAACAATTCCCTGGTTTCATGGGAGAATTCCCTTCGTATGGACCAACATCTTTCCCCGGCAACGGTTCCCAGCAGATTTATGGAGTCGGGACTTACCCGGGGGACGGCCCCACCCTCGTCTACTCTCAGACATTTGGACAAGGCCAGTCTGCAAGAGGCGGGACAGGTATGGGTTCAATCTGTTTCTACTGCAACGGTCCAGGACACTGGGCTAACAACTGTCCCAGAAAGATCAGAGCATTGACATCCGGTAATCAGACAGCCCCAGGACCCAAAAACTGAATTCTCATCAAAGTTATCGGTAAGATCGGTTGTAAATTTTAGTAAGAATGATGACATTTTCAATAGAGGTGAAGTGAAAAATATTGAAGACATTAGAGTTACATCTGTCAAGGGCAGGTTAAGAAGTTGTTAAGATTTTTGGAGATATACGTTAAAGGCTTCCGATAACATTTGTAATGTTATTGAATTTGGTTACTTGATGCCATTCAGTAATGAGCCCCCTTGTTCTTTTTCTACTAACAACAATTCAGCTTTAACACATGGAGAGTTTGTTACGTCAGCTATAGCAGATTTAGTGAAATCTGGAGTTGTTACGGAATGCGATGCCGTGCCTTATGTTGTGAATCCTTTGTCCGTTTCGGTAAACGCGAAGGGAAAAGAAAGGCTAATTTTAGATCTCAGATATGTGAATTCTTATGTCGATAACAAAGAGTTTAAAATGGAAGACGTGAAAGAAGCCTTGAACTATGTATCTACTGCTGGTTTCATGTTTAAGTTTGATCTCAATTCCGGTTTCCATCACGTAGATATACACCCAGATCATTTTAAGTTTTTAGGATTTTCATGGAATGACGTTGATGTAAAATTTAATGTCTTTAGATGCTTACCTTTTGGTCTATCCTCTGCGCCGCACATCTTCACAAAGCTTTTTAGACCGTTAATACGAAGGCGGGGATCTAAAGGATTTAGAATGATGGTGTATCTAGATGATGGCTTTGGTACAAATGATTGTTTTCAGTCTACTTTAAAGATGTCAGAATCCGTGCTAGCAGATTTAAAGGGAGCAGGGTTTGTACCTAATGATCAGAAAAGTGTTTAGATTCCTGTGCAGTGTCTAGAGTGGCTAGGTTTTACCTGGAATCTTAAACACGGAACATTGGATATCAACGTAGGTAAAAGACAAGACATTCTGGATGTAGCAACCGACGTCATAAACAGGTCGAACGCGATTTTTGCCAGAGACGTAGCAAAACCTACAGGAAAGATCATCTCAGTTTGGGGAAGTCTTGGTAATGTGTGTAGGTTTAAAACTAGATCGTTACATAGTAATATCTGTCAAAGGAAAACCTGGGATACTCTGGGACTCTTTAGTACATAGTATGTGGTCCTCGGATGAGGTTCGTAGGAACTCTACTTGGCGTTGACTCAAGGCTATGGTGATTACCTTAAACAGTTTTTGTCAGAAGTTGTATGGTAAAAGTGTGTTGGTTCGTACAAATAAACAGGGTGTCTCACGCCTCCTAGAAGTAGGAAGTATGCGTACAGACTTACAACAGTTGGTTTCAGAAGTGTTCAAGCTAGCTGAACAGTATAGGTTTTCTTTGTGTATTCAGTGGATACCTAGAGAAAACAATACGTTGGCGGATCAGTTTAGCAGGATAAAAGACTTTGACGACTGGTCTGTGCATGATAGTGTTTTCAAGCTCTTCGATAGTAAATTGGGTCCTCACAACTGTGATCTGTTTGCAAACAACAACTATAGCAAGGTCACACCACAGTCTTTTCTAAGTACGCATGTCCAGGGTCAGCTGGGATTAACGCCTTCGCTTTCGATTGGTCCAAATTCACGTGTTGGGCGGTTCCACCTGTGTGTTTGATAGCGAGGGCTATCAACCACTTTCGCACGTGCAGAGCTAGGGGTACTCTGGTTGTATCACGCTGGCAGTCAGCTTCTTTCTGGCCTTTATTAGTTTCAAACGATAAAGAGTTTGTGGTTGACGTGCTTGAGTATGTGAAGCCCGCCTGCTTCTTTAAAGGCGGCTCTCAGGCTAACAGTGTTTTTGCGTTAACTCCGTTTCATACTAACGTTTTGGTTTTGAAAGTGGACTGTACTTAAAATGTACTTTTTTTTTGTTATTCCCATGTTGATATTGGGATCAGGGGTGATGGTTTTTCTATTTCGTGTTTTTGTAACGAAACTTTTGATTAACATGTTACGCTCATTAGTATTTACATGTGTGTTATTTTTTTTTCTAACAGTTTCCAGGGTTCTGGATTCAAATTAGGATCCGTATGGGACGACATCAGGCATATGGAACAGAACCCTTCTCTCACACAGGCCACTGTTAATACAGAGCTTTTAGTAAGGGCCAGTCGCGCCGATAACACTATTAAAAAAATACGACTCTTATTTTTTTAAGTTTAAAGATTGGTGTGATACGGTACGTTTAGATTTTTTACCAGCTAAAGCTAGTACTGTAGCAGTTTATCTTTCGTTATTGGTACAAAAATCTGTATCGGTTTCGGTTTTGAATTCTCATTTTTATAGCATTAAGTGGCAACATGATTTTTCAGCGGTAGATAATCCATGTAATGACAAGTTTGTATTAACCGCCTTGGAAGGAGCAAAAAGGCTGGTGTCAAAACCAGTCTGTAAGAAGGTACCGTTGTCGACTAAGCATCTACTGAATATAGTGGAGAATTATAGTGATATCAATAGTTTGGTAGATCAAAGGATTTGTACAATATGCCTGCTTGGATTTGCAGGAGTTTTTAGATTTAGCGAACTTGCGCAAATGAAAGTGTCGGATTTAGTGTTTTTTAATTCGCATGTCGAAATTAACGTTACTAGCAGTAAGACTGATGTTTACAGAGAAGGTAACAATGTGTTTATTGTCCGAACAGGAAGTTCTACATGTCCTGTGTTACATCTTGAAAGACATCTAGTTTTGGCTAAACTTGAAAAACAAT